CCAGCATAACCCCTGAAAACCACATGCATCTGCAGTTTTATGTGGGCTGCATTGAGAAGTAGTCAGTGTCATGCGACTCATGGGTTTTGTCATCTGTTCTCCTCAGTATGTAATGCCACAACCCTACTTTTTACTTTGGAAATTCTCCAATCGATAACGAACTGTTCGATCAAAAGGGGCTTGCAGTAGTGTTAAAAGATAATACTGTCAACGCTATATTGACCAGTTTGGTCATGAGAGTTACTGGGCATTCGATTTCTGTCATGGTTTCATCCATCACTCACGTTATTTTGTGATAATATTCTCTTCAGAACACTCTCAACCAGATGATAATGCAACCGAAACGTCTTCAGCAGCCGTGGAAAATGGTGAAAATAAAGTGAGCGATGAGTCAGAAACTGCGAATGCCAATGGCGCTGATGCCCCACAATCAGAGGAGACGAAGTCCGTTAGTGAAACTCCTAATGATGTCGATGAGCAGCAATCAGAAAAAGCATCCACAGAAGCCACCCAGACTCCAGTCTCAGAATCGGTCCCACAAACGGATGCAGTCGCAGAAGAACACGAGGCGGAAGAGGAAGCTGATGATGAAGATGATGACGACGAGTCTGATGACGTGGATGGTGGCGCCATTATTGTCAAGGTACTTTTGACTTGATTTTTGATCATATGCACGCGTTGTTTGGATCATATTTGCATGCGATCGATCACTCGTTTTCATCTACCTTGGTTTCTATCAGATTGAAAAACTTGAACAGTCTACTGCCTTGGGCCTACCCTGTGGAAAGTACATTGTCAAGGAGCCTCTTTGCGAGGACTATTTACCGCGACGGTTCCGTTCTGCCTTAGCCACCCTTCGAGCACAAGCGTCCTCGGTCACTGCCTCGGCGGGTGAGTCCTCGGCTGACGTGACCAACGAAACACATTCCGCTCCCAAACGGCGTGCCCTGGTCGCAATGGAGACGGCCGAGGATGATGAAGTCGGGGCCACACTACGCAGCGATCCACAAACCGATGAGGATGCGTCTAGAACCGGAGCGATGGCAACGACCACCAATACCTCAACCACCAGTGGTGATAACCCGGCCCAAGGTGGTGTCCTAACACTTGGGGATGAGTTGGTAAGTTTTTTCCGTAGAACATTTTAAGGAAAAAAATCAAAATGGCTTTCGTCTCCTCTTCGTTGGCTAACATTGAGTGAACTACCAGTGGTTCACCAACCTGGTTATGGCCCCGGATGTCGGCTATTCGTCCTCACACTTTGATGGGTAAAACCGCCACGAGAAAGCAGTGGTTAGGGCTTCCTCAGAGGAGGCTATTTGAGACGCTTAGTCGTATGGTAGCACTTCGTGAGGTGCATGGGAAGAGTGATCAGCCACACCCCTGACCATACTGAGGCCTTCGGAGGCAAACAATGGAACGTTTTTCTTTTTATGAAGATTGTTGTAACATGATTTGCTTGGCACACAGTCTGGTGTCAGACCTGTGATATATATACAATCTCATGGAAGTCTCCTTATATTCCATATAGAATTCGAGAATAACTGATTGGAATGTTTGAACTGTCATTCATTCACCCTGGGTTACCTCAGTTTGATTGGAATGATTGCAACCAGAACATTCCCCTAATCCAGTACTGACACGATAGTTCGCATGGTATTTTTCATCAAGCTATCATTGTATTCATTGACTTCATATTTCCCTTCGAATTTTCCTCTTGGTTTTGCCGTGAATCTATTATAATTCGGATACGGAAATTAACGAGATAGTTACAAGAGTAGCGGTTTTCACAGAAGAACAAAAACAGTTGCTTTTTTCGTAGTTTTATGGAAAGATACGGGGCTAGCTTAGTGATGTTACATGCCCGAACGTGTAATACACGACATAGTGCAATTAGAAGACCATTTACGGTAAAAGTGGATAAAGCATCCACAATAAAGAACAACGACTTGATCGCTGGGTAGAGTATTTTAGTGAACAGTTCAATTGGCCTGGTGCTAATGTGGTCATTCCAGCAATTGCGGCGGAAACTCCTTGGGTGGTAACATGCGAGCCTCCATCAGAATCGGAAGTACAAAGCTGCATTCAATCACTAAAGAAAGGAAAGGCTGCGGGACCTGATGGGCTTCTCCCTGTTCTTTTCAAGGTGGGCGGAGATTCTCTTGTCGACTCGATTACTAACTTACTTCGCAGCATTTGGACGGAGGAGCGTATCCCTTTGTCCTGGGCTGAATCGACGATCGTCCCTATTTTCA